GTATAAATTAGATGGAATTTCTGGATTTTCTATAAATTCTGGAATGTTCCTTTTTGGAATTCAAATGAAAAAATAATAACAAAAATAATGCAGTATTTCTATGAGGCTTGGTTCGCTATTGGGATAAAATGCTATCTGCTGATCCTTCGGTTGACACTAAGCCATATCGTGTCTCTGTTGCCTCTGTTCTGAGATCCTATCAAATGAGGGAATCCTGGTTTCTCAGTCTGGCTTTGCTGCTAACCCCTTTCAACAAGTCTACGGTCAGCAGGGAGAAGCTGTCTTATGGTCTCTAGCTAAAACTTTCTGAACAGATTTGTGTGCCCCTCTTCCCACACACCATTTGGACATCGCTTTAAGATTAAAGAATAGAGTAGAAAAATAGGGACCACCTTTGGTGGGAAGGTAAAGTGTTCCATGCACCTTTGGTGTTTAGTCATGCTGGCCACATGACCACGGAGACGTCTTCGGACAGCGCTGGCTCTTCGGCTTTGAAACAGAGGTGAGCACCGCCCCTAGAGTCGAGAATGACTAGCACATATGTGCGAGGGGAATCTTTAGCTTTACTTTAAGATTAAGAAAAAAAGTGAAATAAAGCATAAACATCAGATCAGGGATAACCCCAGAGAGCAGGAAAGCAAGACACTATCACAATTGGGCAAGCATATACAGAAGATTCTGAATCTGGAAGAACTGACACTGTGAGACTAAAATTGTTTAGCCAATCTTTTATTTCAAGAGGAGTGAAACTAATCTAGGAAGACTGGAAAATAAACAGAACAAAAGCATTTTTCAGATATCATATTTTATTTTCTGGATAGTGTATGAGGGAAATTACAGCTGCTATATGTAAACCATACTCTTAACACTATATCAGAATATTGTTTCAGTGAATTGGCACTTAATACATCCCCACCTCTCCAAATAAAATAGCAGAAATGTTGTTGTTTCAGAGTAGCGTTAAAACAGAATTGTACAGATTTGCCTCTTCTTTGCTAAATAAAGTAGTGGAGATCTGCTTTTCTCCTCTGGAGAAGGCTCTTGTTCTGACCTAGACTTCCCAAGAGCGTGAAGCAGACTCCTTTTTATTAAGTTACTGTGAATTCCTCTCATTCACATCCAGGAAAGTCTTTCAAGGGAGAATTTACAGTCACAGACCTTATCTGGCTTGGAGAGCTTCCAGGCCAATATCTTCAAAACTTGGAAAGAAGTCTCTGAGAGTCACGAACCAATTAAGCAAATTAATTGTCTCCTGCAAACTCCCCTCCCCTTTCGCTCCTCTTTATTCCCTATGGGAGGGGCCATTCACCGTCCACCTGTGGCTTTACTCCCAAGTCAACCCTTGTTCCTTAGCTGTTCCCTTCTCCTGGCAGCTCTGTGCATGTGCACACTGGGAACAGGCTCAAGCTCTTCTGCCCCACTGATGTCCGACTCCGAATGCAGCTGACAACTGTCAGACAGCCCTGGCCCCATCTCTGCCTCCGACACAGAGCACTCATCAGAACCTTCCCCAGACTCCAGGACTGGCCCATGTTCCTTCCCAACCTCCTCAGTGTCTGAGTCTGCCACCAGCTCTGCTGGCGGGCCACAATAGCTCTTTCAAATTAGAGAAGAGACAGGACATAAATGAAGAGAATCTAGGAGGCATAGTGCTAATTGGGAGGGCACTTGCTGGAAGAGAAATGATTGCAGTCAACTATGGGTAGTGATCAAATCTAAAAATAAATTTCTGATCACACCCATTACAAGCCACTTGATCTGGCCATTAAGAGAATGGATGATAAAGCATTATAGATTTTACACGGTGGCGCAGTGGTTAAAGTGCGGTACTGCAGGCTACTTCTGCTGCCTGCCGGCTGCCTGCAGTTTGGCAGTTTGAATATTACTAGGCTCAAGGTTGACTCAGCCTTCCATCCTTCCAAGGTGAGTAAAATGAGGACCCAAATTATTGGGGGCAATATGCTGACTCTGTAAACTGCTTTAGAGAGGGATGTAAAGCACTGTGAAGTGGTATAATAAGTAAGTGCTGTTGCTATTGCTATTGGGATATGTTGTCTTAAAAGGCGTATTCCACTTGTATACAGGTAATCCTTGACTTACAACCATTTGTTTAATGACTGTTCAAAGTTACAGTGGCACTGAAAAGAAGTGACTAATGACCACTTTTCACCATTATGACTATTGCATCATCCTCATGGTCACATGATCAAAATTCGGATGCTTGGAAACCTGCATGTCCAGGGTTATGTGATCACCATTTGTATCCTTCCCAGCCAGCTTCTGGCAAGCAAAATCATTTGCGGAAGCCACATTTGCTAAATAACCGCAAAATTCACTTAACAACTTCAGTTATTCATTTAAAAACTGGCAAAAAAAGACATGTAAAAAGTTAACTCACTTAACACAACTGCCTTGTTTAGCAGTAGAATTTTTCAGCTCAATTGTTGTAAGTTGAGAATTGCCTACGTAACGACTTAAAGGTGTTTTAGTTATGGGCTTGGGTAAGTGAATAGTATCATGTGATCAAGATGGAGGTTTGGAATTGTCAGAGTACAAAGGTATGTTGGGAATCTGCAAATGGAAAGAGGAATTGTACAGTATCTTCCAAAATATCAACTTTCAAGAACAGAACTAGAACTGGAATGTGAAGTAATGCAAGATCCAAAGCCAGCTTTTTAAAAGAGCTTCAGAGCACCGAACACCTTGCATATCCCTCTTCGACAATACAGTCAAAATGAATTTGTTGGTGATGACCAGAAATTTTATCTTCTGAATTTTATTTTTGCCCCTTGACTCTCCTAGTAGCACTGAGAAATCTGATTTGTAGATATGATTTGGGGGGAAACTACATTCCATTTCTTACTAGTGAATTTTCCCTCACACATATTTTCGGCAACTCTGATCATAGAACAGTTTTAATTGATACAGTCTACCATTATTATAATCAGAAATGTATTGTTTCACTTACTCAGGAATATCTTGCCTTTTGGCTACTTTGTTGGCAACAAATTACTAAAAATATATGTGATAGACTTGAGAAAGATTTGAGATTAATAGCACTTAGATTTATATACCGCTTCACAGTGCTTTACAGCCCTCTCTAAGCGGTTTACAGAGTCAGAATATTACAATAACGATGGAAAAAATATTGAAAGCTGAAATGAAAGTATTTTATATATTACTAGCATTTTACAGTAATTAACTCTGTAGTAAGAAAAACAATTATTGATTTCTGTGCAATGCTTAATAATACTTAACAGGGAGAGTTAAAAACATTTTAGGGCTATGCAAAACTTTCCAAAGTGTTTTATAGTATACGTAGTACATAGGAAGGATGGTTGTTCATATTAAGAAAAAAAAATCTTTTAAAAAAGATACATCACTTTTTTTTAACAAAGCTGCTGTGCCCAAAGACAAATAGGAACAGACTAAGCAACTGTGCATGATTGGGCGGGGGGGGGGAGGGGCAATTGCTTTAGAAGCGGTGAGTACTGTATGTGGTTCCACATGATGCAAATACCTTCCAGGAGATTTTCACAATGTAAAAATTATTCAGATATATTTGTTTACTTTGCATTTAACTGAAGAAAATCATTAAGTTAAGCATTCTTGTTATTTAAGGAGTAAACTTAAAATGCACTTTAAAAACAGATTTTATTTCACCGAGATAATCGTTTACACAATGTTTAAATGAATTGCCTAGGATTGGTTAGGGAACGTGACTATGCTGAGTGGTTGATATATTTTTCATGGTGGATGCTGCAATTAAGGCGACATAATTATTGCTTGAGTTACATCCATTCACAATCTATTAGATTATTAAATGGGACTGGTCCATATCTAAATGATCGTCTCCCATTTATATTTGCTGACTGGAGCGTACTTTCTGTAGCTTTCTGCTCCAGTCCTTTGAGAGCAGAGTGCTAAAGTGGTTTTAATAGCCACTTCCTTTGCCAGGGTCATGTGACTGCTTAGTAAGTCGTTCCCAGCTGTTTTTCCATACATTTGATGCATAACTATTTTACTGGGGGAAACATAAGTCTGTGGGGAGCCATGCAAGACTTTGGGGGTGGGGAGCACTGCTTTTTCAAGAGAAAGTCTTCCACAAATTACATAGCACCTTTTTTGAAGAGTTTGCTCAGCAGTATTATGTTCTATTTTATAAATAAAGAGGCAACTGAATATATGAAACCGTAATAAAAAGAATCGTGTTTAATCTGAAATTATTAGAGGGTCTAATGTTAAATGTAACTGTAAAGCGTGTTTCAGATTCTGACTTTTCAAAATATCATCTTGTATGAGGTCATTAGGTAGAACAATAATTATATTTTCAGTAGTACTGTATAACAATTATAATATTGACAGGAGATTTGGGTTCAATTCCACCCATTACTGCAAAAGTTCACAGGGTGATTTGGAGTTGTTTTCTTCTCAGGTTATCCAGCCTCACCAGATTGTTGTCATTAGGACAAATTGGAGGAGGGAATGTTGGGTATCTCCTTTTTTTTTTTTTTTTTTTAATTTGATTTATATGCCGCCCTTCTCCGGAGACTCAGGGCGGCTTACAATGCGTTAAGCAATAGCCTTCATACTTTTGTATATTTTTATACAAAGTCAGCTTATTGCCCCCACAAACTGGGTCCTCATTTCACCTACTTTAGAAAGGATGGAAGGCTGAGTCAACCTTGAGCCTTGGAGAGATTCGAACCAGCAGTAATTGCAGGCAGCTGTGTTAATAACAGGGTGCTTAGACCACTGTACCATCAAGGCTCTTGATAAAAGGTGGATCCTAAATATGAAAAATAAATATTCAGTAAGTTTATTTACCTAGGAAAAATCCTACGCTACATCTATAGGATTTTTGGAAAACATGCTATAATATTAAAGATACAAGTTTGATCTTTATGGTCATGATTTCAGTTGGTGAATTGGATTATGAAGAAATAATAAAAATAAAAGTAAAAAAGATTTAAAAGTTTGAGTTTTTTAAAGACAACTTATATTTATCCACAATACATCATTTATTTAAATATTACACAAATATATTAAAAAATACATTTGCATAACTCAAGCCATGTGAATTATCATAGCAGTAGGCAATGTATTACATTTCAAATGTTCTGTTGTTGGGGTGTTACTCTTCCCGCAATTCTTATGAAACATGAAAATTAAGGTGTAATCATTCAACAATATAAACTTGAGTTTCTTACTTTAGAATCATCCAAATGAAATGTCAGGTTGATTGACATTTGATCAGTTAAACAACCCATCATATACTGGCTACAAATTAGTAAATGGTTATGCAAAAACAAGTTTTCTCTAATCTCAGTTAGAAGCTTTGTAGCAGTTCCTGTTATATGTACTCAGTTTAAATTTTGACTCCTAGTAGTTTCTTGCCTGTGGTAATTACTACTTTGTATGGGCCAACCATTGCACAGACCAGATTTACAGGTTATGCATGAAGTAGACAAGCAGCCTCAGATGTTCATGTATCCTCCAGCATTGTAGAGTCTGACCCTATTTCTTTCTAGGGCTATATAATCAAGGCAAAAATCATGGTGATAAGTACATTTTCTTTCTCCATGTTGCTGATTTGTACTATATATCCCTTCCTAATTAAGAGTAATCTTTGGTCTCTTTCCCATTTCAAATATAATGCTTGACTAAGTTGACAGTTTTACTGTGGCATGCTTAAGATGTTCTGAGTTGGAGATGTGGTGATTTATTAAAAGAAGTGAGGGGGAAATGAGAAATAAATACTTTACTAATATTTTCTTTTCACGTGGGAAGGAAATAGGGCATATCACTGACCCACCCATTCCCATAGCTCCAGAGTTGAGAAGACTACTGGCAATAGTTACAGTAATGACCGACTATAAAATCACATTGAAAGAATGTTCTACTTGCATGACTTAACCATTTTTCTTTCATAAGGGTTGGTCCCAGAAAATAGTAACCTTCCTTTGGGGTATAAAAAAGGAACTGGTAGAAGTGTTGCAGAAGTTAATCAGTAAATATTTGATTGATGGACTGTCAAAAAAAAAAACCTTTCATTACTTTCCTTGAATTGTTACTCATTAGATAGACTCAACTATACCAGCGAACTGCAAAATGAACATCTTGCTATTTTAGAGATTATTAATCGTAGAATCTAAACATTAATTTCTGTAAGTAAAATTAACAGAAATAAAAGCATAAATTTGTCAAATCCTTTCAAAACTTAAACACATTGAATGGAATAGAAAATAATTCATTTAAAACCTAAAAATATGATCTACTTAAACATTTTCATTATTTTCATTTTATCAAGTTTTTTCCTGATATATTATAGTTAAGTATTGATTGTGATATGTTAGGAGCAGGTTGCTGTCCCTGAAACTTCTCAGAAACTTGCTAGAGATACTATTTAAACTGTTAGAAAAGAAAAATTATTAAATACATGTTAGCTATTTTATGTAAATAAAATCACATTTGTATTTTTTTTTTTTTTGGCTCTGCGTGGATTTTTAAAATGGAGATCCCTGAACATTACCTAGAATATATTGACTTTAACAAAATAAAGTTTCACTTTGGAAAGATCTCCTTAAAAGACTAGAATACAAATGAACATTTTTAATGTAACATGTGTCTTTAGAAATAGAATCTGGATCTTTTGCATATTATTCATTGATGACGTGTAAAACGTTTGCTATACTTCTTACAGTTGAAGCTAAATTATGGAATCATGCAAAGTAAATAAAAAATAATAAACTGTAGAATAGCGAAGTTGCTTGCAACAGCATTATATTTCCATTTAATTAATCTTTGTACAAGCTCCAGCTTGTAGAAGAAAAAGGTTCTTGTTTAACCCTGTAGACTACTAACCTGAAGATCTAGAATGAGGGATCAGACTGGTACTGTTATTGCATATGTAAAAAAACCAAAATTGCTCCTCCCAAAAAAGCTAGATTCATATTACAAATTACAAGAAAGCTGAGTAGAAAGAGAAATACTAGAGAAAAAAAGTAGGAAAAGTATGGCTTTTAAAAGACTTTTGTCCAACCCCTCAAAAGCAACTCTACTCTTGTTTTACATGACTAACTCCCTTCATATTTGATCCTTTTTCTAGCACTAATGACAAAGCGTCTGCAATAAAACAACTAACCTTAGAGATCACCAAGAACCCTCCTTTCAGTCCTGAGCTACACATATTCTCCTTTATTGATTCTTTTTCTGATCAGGTTTTTTTTTTTTTTTTTTGGTGCATTATCAGTTAGCACAAATTAGTCACAACTTGCTTCATTTTTTTAATGGAAAATATTATTAACTCTTATTAAAAATTGTGGATTTAAGCATTTGGAGAGATTGGACTAAATAATCGGCAAGGTCCCGTCAATATCAAATATATTGATATTTTATAATTTTATTTTAATGGAACTATACTAAGTTTTCTAAAAAAGATAGAAACATCTTTCATATAAGATGTATTTCCAAATTATTTTTAGCTGGAATCATCTCCAGTACTTTCTGTGGAAACACTTAAGTCATACAACAATAGTCATCCATTGGCTAAGAAAAGATGTTATAAATATCTTAAATTTGAGTCCATTTTAGTATAGGATTATTTTTAATACTGGAGAAAACAGAAAAATATCTACTTATTCCAAACCAAATTATACAGGTTGAACAATATAATAGCTTTGCAAAATAAACATTTTAAAATGCATCTTTATTTAATCAATGACTATCTATTTTTCCTGCTTAGTTAATCATCTCACATTAGCTGCTTATACGTATTGACTCATCAGATATACTCCAAGTAGATAAAAGCTATGTAGAAATATAATATAGTCCTCAATTTGCAACCATTTGTTGAGCAATCATTCAAAATTATACTGGTACTGTACAAGGGGGATTTACAATAGCTACACAAAGTTGTGGCCATCGTAGAATCCCTGTGGCCAGGTGATCATGATTCCTGACCTGCTGGCGTTCCCCATTCCCCACTCATGGCACCCATACATCCTCTACACCAGGGGTGTCAAACTTGTGGCCCGCAGGCCGGATGCATCACGCGCTGGCCATGCCCACCCCTGTTTTAGTGAAGGGGGAAAAAGTCATGATACGTAACGTGACGATGCGAGTTTGACAGCCCTGCTCTACACTCTTTTATGTGGGACTGCAGCTTTTTCCTGCTGAACAACCTGCACAATCCTGAAGTTATGATAGTTGCCAGGACTGGCAGAATTGCTGTTGCTAATTGGTACAGTCACATGATATCACATTTTGTGACCGAATCACTTACTGACAGCAGTCCTAGTTCAAATTGATTTTATATCCTAGGTACTACTTACAGCTTCTTTTTCAGATAATGCAACTTCAGGTTATCCATACCGGATTTGCTTCTAGATTGCTGTCAGTCTGAATAGGGAAGAAGAAAACCAGTTTTAATTTTCCCTTGTTGACTTTATTTCAGCTGAAAAAAACTGTCATACCATCTTCAGACAGCACAAGCTAAAAAGCAAACCACAATTGCCTTGCAACTATGCAGTTAAGAAAATGCAGTCTTTAAGTTTGTACAGATATGTAGCTAAACTGTAATTAGCCAAAACCTATGGTACTCTGTGAACAGTTTTACTTCAGTATCTGTGGAATTGCATTTTAGATTATCTCAATCCAAGTGATATATCCTGAGAATGGAACCAAATATGGCCTTCATGTTTCTTTTATCGTCTGTTTAAAACCAAAGTTACCTGTTTTTGTTTCTTCTGATTATCTTATCTTCTGAATGATATAAATGAATAAATATTTCTCCATGGTTGACTAAAACAGATTCCATTAATATGCATTTGTTATCCTTGTAAACCCTTCAGCATGTCTTATTTCATCCATTACTAGTAACAACTATCAACGTCAGTTCTTATTTATGCTTCCAAAAATGATTCCTGTTAATGATTTTCAGGTGCAATTTATCTGCATTTAATTAAGGTATTTTAGGAGAAAGTAATAGAGAATTGCTTGAATGTTTATGAAAAAATGGAAAATGATAACATTCTAATTGACTTTTGTGAACGGATTGAAAAACTGTATTGCCCTCATACAGGTGAAACTCAAAAAATTAGAATATCGTGCAAAAGTTCATTTATTTCAGTAATGCAACTTAAAAGGTGAAACTAATATATGAGATAGACTCATTACATGCAAAGCGAGATAGTTCAAGCCTTGATTTGTCATAATTTTGATGATTATGGCTTACAGCTCATGAAAACCCCAAATTCACAATCTCAGAAAGTTAGAATATTGTGAAAAGGTTCAATATTCTAGGCTCAAAGTGTCCCACTCTAATCTGCTAATTAAGCCATAACACCTGCAAAGGGTCCCTGCGTCTTTAAATGGTCTCTCAGTCTGGTTCAGTAGCAATCACAATCATGGGAAAGACTGCTGACCTGACAGTTGTGCAGAAAACCATCATTGACACCCTCCATAAGGAGGGAAAGCCTCAAAAGGTAATTGCAAAAGAAGTTGGATGTTCCCAAAGTGCTGTATCAAAGCACATTAATAGAAAGTTATGTGGAAGGGAAAAGTGTGGAAGAAAAAGGTGCACAAGCAGCAGGGTTGACTGCAGCCTGGAGAGGATTGTCAGCAAAAGGCCATTCAAAAGTGTTGGGGACTTTCACAAGGAGTGGACTGAGGCTGGAGTCAGTGCATCAAGAGCCACTGCACACAGACGGATCCTGGACATGGGCTTCAAATGTCGTATTCCTCTTGTCAAGCCGCTCCTGAACAACAAACAACATCAGAAGCGTCTTACCTGGGCTAAAGACAAAAGAACTGGTCTATTGCTCTTTTCTGATGATAGCAACTTTTGCATCTCATTTGGAAACCAAGGACCCAGAGTCTGGAGGAAGAATGGAGAGGCACACACTGCAAGATGCTTGAAATCCAGTGTGAAGTTTCCACAGTCTGTGTTGATTTGGGGAGCCATGTCATCTGCTGGTGTTGGTCCACAGTGCTTCATTAAGTCCAGGGTCAACGCAGCCGTCTACCAGGAGATTTTGGAGCACTTCATGCTTCCTTCTGCAGATGAGCTTTATGGGGATGCTGACTTCATTTTCCAGCAGGACTTGGCACCTGCCCACACTGCCAAAAGTACCAAAACTTGGTTCAATGACCATGGGATTACTATGCTTGATTGGCCAGCAAACTCGCCTGACCTGAACCCCATAGAGAATCTATGGGGCATTGCCAAGAGAAAGATGAGAGACATGAGACGGAACAATGCAGAAGAGCTGAAGGCCGCTATTGAAGCATCCTGGTCTTCCATAACACCTCAGCAGTGCCACAGGCTGATAGCATCCATGCCACACCGCATTGAGGCAGTAATTGATGCAAAAGGGGCCCAAACCAAGTACTGAGCACATATGCATGCTTATACTTTTCAGAGGTCCAATATTGTTCTATGTACAATCCTTGTTTTATTGATTTCATGTAATATTCTAATTTTCTGATATTGTGAATTTGGGGTTTTCATGAGCTGTAAGACATAATCATCAAAATTATGACAAATCAAGGCTTGAACTATCTCGCTTTGCATGTAATGAGTCTATCTCATATATTAGTTTCACCTTTTAAGTTGCATTACTGAAATAAATGAACTTTTGCACGATATTCTAATTTTTTGAGTTTCACCTGTATATTGACCTGACTTAAGACCATCTCTCAAAAAGAACATATCATTTCTCTCAGAATACTGTTACTTTCCATCCTCAATTAACATAGCATATTATACATACAGTTTCAAATCTATGGCACTGTTCATGAGTTGTCATAGATGTATGACAATCATGATAACTGTCATAGTTGTCATAGTATGAAGCTTTAAGAAAATCATAGCATCCAGAGGGTAATGTATGTAGCATCCCCAAAGGTAATATTGCTGAAAAATACTGTGTGAAAGCTTATGTTCACTGAATATTCTTGTTTTCATATTTTGCTCTTCCATATCTTCACCAATGTCTTAACATGCTAGCCTCTTGCTTCTTTTTCATCTTTGTTTCTTTTGTTGCTTGTGTTTCAATGTATATTGTGTTATATTGGCCTGGTTAAAGAACCGTTACCGTATTTTATGTTTGTATCTACATTTTATTTTGCATGCTTAACGTGGCTTTGCCTGGATATTCTTTTTTGGTAAGTTCTGAATTTTAAAAGTGTATTGTTTTTCTGTAGTAAACCTGTAAACTCTGTTATCACCAATCTTTCCCACATCAAGAAATCTGTCCTTCTTTTCCTCATGCTGATTTGTGCTCATAAATTGTTTTGCTTTGGCTAATTATCTGTATAACCAATACATAACACTTTTAATTTCATATTTAGATCTTCTGTGCCTATGTCACAGTTTTTGTACTAATGGGTACTAATTACCTAGTAACCAGGACTAATTAAAGATAATAGTCAAATATGCTTTGAATCATTGTCAGCTCTCAGGAAAAGATTGCAGAGAGCCCAGTGGAGTCCTCTTTTTTTGTGTGTGTGCATACCTTTGCTCATGAAATGTGTGCACACACACCTGTGTATCACAGAGAGCTACTTGTTATTTGGAATGGGTGGCTGGCTGGCTTATATACACACATAGTTTGTGCTCAATATTTAACACTTTGGTTCAGCCAGAGATTTCAAGAAAAGAAACAAAGATCTGATTTACATGACATGTTAACCAATCTGACTGATTAACAGATACACACATGGTACCATCTCCTTTCCTGACTTGCTTGCTCTTTAACCATGGTCTGTGCATAAGTAGATAGAAAGAAAAAAATATCAATAATTAACCTTTTCAAATTCCAATTCATGCTACCTTGGAAGAACCATCCTTTCTGGGTTTAGGTAATGCTTTGGTCTTAAAAACAAAAAGCCACACACAATGGTTAAAGTAGATACATTTCATTGAAGTAATCTGTTTGATTTAGATGTCATGCAAAAAATGTTTATTCCATCCACCCTCTTGCTTCCCTAACAGCCAGCCTTATGGTAGATGTTTGTATTCACAGAGGGAGAACTCCACTGAGCTTTTAGCAGAAAAGACTGCATCCTGCTATTTATTGATTTTTGTAAAATTCCTATAAAATACAATTTGATATTAGAGCTATACGGTAAAATCATCAGTAAAAAGAAATTATGGAAAACCTGATTCACATGCTTCTTGCAATATGATTCCTTGATTTACCAAAACTAAACTATTGCTTATACATAAAAGTATGTATATATGTCTAAATATATATTTTTTCTTTAATTTACAGCAACAGCTAGCTCAGCTGCAGAAAGAGAAATCAGAAATTTTGAAGAATCTGGCTTTATATTACTTCACTTTTGTTGATGTTATGGAATTTAAGGTAAAGGTCTAAGTATAGATTTAACTTTCTTGAGAGGCTAAAAGTTCCCATTAAGTATAGATTAAATCATTCCCTATGATGTTACTTTGAGAATTATATATAGCCTATCATAAATTATTTGTTACTGTAAAATGCTGTGGTCTAATAAACAATCATACCTTTCTCTTCCTTTTTATTTCAAAGGATCATGTCTGTGAACTATTGAATACTATTGATGTTTGCCAAGTCTTCTTTGATATTGTAAGTCTGAAAAAAATGAATCTTTGAAACAATTAAGATAGAAACATTATGAGGTAATATCAGGGTTGTATTGTTGCAGTTATATCAAGCTGGACCTGTTTCTTACATTTTTAAAGGATTGAAAACGGGACATAGGGTTCATACGTCAAATTACTGTGGTTCCTCTGCTTAAATTACTGTTAAATAATGCTGGATCAGGAATATCTGTTCAATATGGTATTTAATTTTTATGTTTTAAAATTAAGTAATACAAGCTCTAGAAGCTGTTAAAAATTCAGCCAATGATCATTGATGACAAACTGCTGAACTGTGGAGCTTCCTAATGAATTTTGGCAAAACAAAACCATTGGCTGAATAGGTTAAACCTATAATAAATCAATAGGGTTAATTATCTTTAAAGGTTTTTCTTTTAAATTTCCCCCAAACTACCACAAAAATAAAAAATCCTACTTCTCTGACTGTTCCATGCAACAGTAAACTGATTTGTCAGGAAGAGGATGGAGAATTAGGATATCAGCTACTGAAAGAACTTTAAATTTTGTCATTAACTACTTTTACATCTGGAAGCCAGAAATGTATTTTCGAGATATTTGACAATTATTTTATTGGATGAGCTCACATACCGTGTTTCCTCCGAAAATAAGACCCTGTCTTATATTTATTTTTGAACCCTGAAATAAGCACTTGGCCTTATTGCCATTGGCTCAAAAGCCCGATTGGTCTTAGGGGATGTCTTATTTTTGGGAAAATGGTAGAAGATTTTGGTCGGGACAAGTTAATAAGTCAGACCAAATCTGAGAGGTCCAAATGGTTGGGCCTGTGTCAGTCACAGACATCAGGGTCAATGGGCATGGAAAAATGCATGAAGAGTAAGAACTTGAATGTGGTATGAGTAATCTGCCGTATAAAGGGTGCATTGTTTAATCAGTGAATTGATACATTTCGCATAACCTTTTAAAAAGAACTCTCTTTGAATTTTAATTTCAGACCGTAAACTTTGATTTAACAAAGAACTATCTAGACTTAATCATAACCTACACAACATTAATGATATTGCTGTCTCGGATTGAAGAACGGAAAGCCATCATAGGATTGTACAACTATGCTCATGAAATGACACATGGAGCAAGGTATCTGATACACTGGGTGTCTTTGGGGACCTCATTCACTTTGCACAAGTATTTTTACACTGAATTCTTCTTTTGCTTTCAGTGATAGAGAGTACCCACGTCTTGGCCAGATGATTGTGGATTATGAGAATCCATTGAAGAAAATGATGGAAGAATTTGTACCACATAGTAAAGTATGTGTGATTTTTTCTGTTTGCTGAAATGTATTTTTAAAATTCAGTTAAATGCTTTATAATGTGTCTGTCACTATTTTCTTTAATGATTTTAAAATAATTAGATTGTTAATTAGGCCAGTTGCATAAATAGATAAAACTTTTTATTTGTCCCTTGTAAGCAAAATGTGTAAATTGCTGTGCTATTGTGATTTCTTTATGTTTTTTCCCTGACTTCTGAATTTGTAAATATTTTATAGTGAAATAATGTTCAGCCACTTATTAAGTCTTGGAATATAACCAACATTTCATAGTCATTATTCAATTCAATATTTTAGCCTTCACTGTCCCTTTTGGTATCATGTATGCTTACCACATTTTCTCAGAATTCTCAAAAATATAAAAATATATCAATATTTATATATTATTCTCAAAAATATAAAAATAATTATATATGATACTTTGGGACATAGAGTTTTCACCTTCTAGACTGTGCTTGCAGTAGTCCCATTAAAGAAGAATTTTACACTGCTAAAAATATGACATTCATAATTATCACTTTCTTACTGAATGCAAGTATGCATGGCAATGGTAATCATTCGCAAGCATATGAAGAGGAATGTTTAAATTAATCAGAGTTAATGGAATGAATCTTGAGGGAATTGTAAGACAAAAGGGAAATAAAACTCACTTTCCCTGCATTCCGTAAAGCTCTGTTAAAGATTCTCTGATTGCTGTATATTTGGATTGAATTTATAGTAACCAGTTTCATTCTTTATGAACAAGATGATATAATCATGTTAGCCAGCAACCAAATGGCTTTTAAAGCTTCTAATATCTGTCACTGTTTGTATTTTAAAAAGCTCACTGCATTTTTTTTTAAACAAACTGGTTTAAAGCAGTAACTTTGCAAAAAGGAACAGTAGGAGGTAATGAAAGTAAACAGAAGTGTATTTGTGATGGAGCAGAGATGTTAAGGGACACATTTGGGAGTTGTGTGATGCCAAGCCCTGGTTTGGAGTACTGGACAGGGTCAGGTAACCAAAGATGTTATGGAGTACAAGAAGAATGAGTTAATGGCCTGGAGAGAGCAGAGGATTGAGTAGATGAACCATCTGGTTCTGATTGCTCCAAGTAGTTGGTGTACCTTAATAAGTCATAGGTGGAAGCAGTTGGGCTCTCTGCTAGATTTAGTTTGTGTCTCAGAGCAGATGCAATATGAATCGAGAATGGAGGATATTATCATCTGTCCTTTGTCATAGACAAACTACTCTTTGATTGCTATGGAGTTAATTAGTACTACCAATCTTTTGTAGGATGAATGGGTCTATTCATTTATTCTGCCTCAGATGTCTAATGGATCCATCTGCTTTCCAGAGGACTCTTAAATAATTTACTGAAGCCCTGGAAGACAGTTGTGGAGAGGCCTTGGTTATTTACTGTGGATACAACCGCAACCTTAGACAGGCTTGTACCTGAGTGACCTCTGCTTGTCTATTGATCTAGGGGAAATACTGAGTTTACTGAGAGCTTCAGCAGATGAAGTGGCTGCTGGAGAGATGCATATAGCAATGCTGACCAAAAAAAAGTGTGAATCTGATCAAATAAGATAAGAACATAGGTTCAAGCCTACACTGTGGCAGTAACAGTGGCAAAATGGTAGTATGTCTCGCATTCTTATTGTATGAATTACCACCTAGTTGTCCCGTTCAAATAAACCACAAAGAATGCAATAGAGGAGAATTTCTTGGGCTGCTGTTAGAATTGGGAAATAAAATCACTCAAAGAGCCATGATGGTACAGTGGTCTAAGCACCCTGTTACTAACACAGCTGCCTGCAATTACTGCTGGTTCGAATCTCTCCAAGGCTCAAGGTTGACTCAGCCTTCCATCCTATCTAAGGTAGGTTTAGTTTAGTTTAGTTTATTTGATTTGTATACCGCCCTACTCCCAAAGGACTCAGGGCGGTGAATAGCCAAGCAATAAAATACATAAATACACAAAATTTAAAACCAGATAAAATCAAATTAAATCATTTTGGCCCAGACAGATTAAAACACCCCAATAATTTAAAAACAGATTAAAATTTACATATTAAAAGAGGGAGGAGATTAGGCCAAGCCCGCTTGATGGAATAAAAAAGTCTTCACAGCGCGGTGGAAGGTGCGCAGATCCGGAATCCTCCGTATCTCTGGGGGGAGCTCATTCCAGACGGTAGGTGCCCCCACAGAGAAGGCTCTCCCCCTAGGGGTCGCCATCCGACACTGTTTGGCTGACGGCACCCGGAGGAGTCCCTCTCTATGAGAGCGTACTGGCCGGTGGGAGGCTATTGGTGGTAGTAGGCGGTCCCGTAGATAACTAGGTCCTAAGCCATGGAGCGCTTTGAAGGTGGTAACCAAAACCTTGAAGCGCACCCAGAAGACCACCGGGAGCCAGTGCAGCTCGCACAGGAGAGGTGTCACATGGGAGCGCCGTGACGCTCCCATTACCACCCGCGCGGCCGCACTCTGCACCAGTTGGAGCCTCCGGGTGCTCCTCAAGGGGAGCCCCATGTAGAGAGCATTACAATAGTCCAGGCGGGAGGTGACAAGGGCATGAGTGACCGTGCGTAACGAGTCCCGATCCAGAAAGGAAATGAAATGAAATGAAAGGTAGGTGAAATGAGGACACAGTTTGTGGGGGCAATAAGCTGACTTTGTATAAAATATACAAAAGTATGAAGGCTATTGCTTAACGCATTGTAAGCCGCCCTGAGTCTCCAGAGAAGGGCGGCATATAAATCAAATTTAAAAAAAAAATTATTTGGAAGTTGAAAATCTGCTACACAAACACTATAGAAGTGACCAGAATTACATTTGTTGATATGACCTGGAGCCAGGATCTGAGGAAATGAATTAGATTTTCTTCTCCAGTTGGCTCTTTTTATCTACTTACTACATTTTTCATAAATAATTTAATGCAGTACAGCTCAAAACACCTGCTTAGATTGTTGAGAAGATAGGCCTCCAGTTGCAGAGGAGCCTGCATGAAACAGATTGTTTGGATGCTTTTTGGACTCTTTCATGCTTGGAAGACCACATTAATCTCCCTCGGTAGTGAACCTTGGTAAGATTGGAATAGGGGAAGTGCAACCCTCACAATTTTGCTTGATTTCTCAGTGGCCTTCAGTACCATTGATTCTGCTGTCCTTCTACAGTATGTCAGAGGGTTGAGATCTTTTTTTCCTAAGGGGGCAATTCCAGACATTGGTGGTGGAAGAAGTCAAGGCCTAGGGTGTTCTGTTGTGGAATGCTACTGGACTGGACACTGTTACAATCTTTTTAACATCTATATAAAGCCACTGGAGGAAGTCATCCATAAACAGAAAGTTAAGAATTGTTGGTATGCTGGTTAGTGAGTACAGAAGATGTCCTTGAGGTACAAAGGGAAGATTCATTGCCAAGGCATCAATCAAATAAAAAAAAATTGAACCTAAGAAAGTGATTTATGAAAATTAACTCAGACAGTTCCTCCCCTGCCCCTTACAAATTCACACTAAGATAAAAGAGGGAGGAAGGGAAACACACTCAGATTTGCAAGATTCTGTTACTATACCTGTTCTAATAAAAATAGCTTTAAGTCTACACTTAAAATTTATTTCTTAGTCTGGTCTACCTTATGGAGGTGACATAAGATTCTCAGTCAAATATTCTGTGCCCCCCCCCAAACCAATTGGAACATTTGCTAAAGACTTGAACTA